AAAATTTTCTTCTTTGAATAGTGATGAAAAGCTCTAAGATGATTTTTTTTTTTTCCTTTGTGGGAACGTTGCTCAAAGTTACCGAGTTCATGGGGCACGTCGGTATGTGAAATGAGTATAGGGTATGAGATAAGTTGGGAAGGGGCGATCACTTTGACTAGCTCATGTTGTATGTAGACAACCAGACTTTGTATTATATGTCGTACACAATAATTTCTCCGAAAGTGACCAAGCTTTGGATTACACATCAAATTTTGAATTTCCCTGAAAACTCACATGAATACAAACGTGGAAATCCAATGAAACACCCTCAGCTAGAGGGTGTTGAACAGCACTGGGGCTAAGTTTTTAGGGCTTTGAAGAAAGGGACATTGAAATATATTGAATACAAACATGCAGAATAAATTCACTGAGGTAAGGAAAGCAACACAAACCTGCCATTCATGGCCCTTATCAAAATTTAAAGGTGTAGGTTAGGTACACTTTTGTCCGAGTTCCCCAGCTGCGGCTTGTCCTCACAGACAACAGAAACAGCTCATTAGTGATCATAAGTATACTCTTGGAACGTTTTTACTATGTTGCCCCCTATTTTTCTAATCGAATCCATCCTACAGCTTTAAACTTCCAATTTAAGTGCAAATTTATTCTTCAAACTAAGTTATAAGTTGAAAAAAGTCTCTCCTATGACAGGGAGGAGAAAAACTTGCTTAGTCAAGTAGGTTTATTCGTGTCACATGGCTGTATTTGAGTTGCAAAATAGTAACACTAAAATATTTGGATGTGTCGAAAAAGCTAATGAAAATAATATATTTTACATTTTCTATACAAGTTGTCTTTTATCTCTATCATTTTGCTACTCAACATTACTACGTGACATGAACATGTAAAACAAATAAGAATTGCATGTTTATTCAATGCAATCAGAGAGATCATTAAAAGGTCATTAAGAGATCGTTAAGCAATAACCGCATTCAATTCCAACTTCCTAAACCACGTATTAACAAACTATAGGTCATAGTTTATGCAACAATGAAAATTAGTGAATCTTACTTGCATTAGAAGACGTGATGGTCCAACAATGGCTTTGTCTTCTCTTCTTTTGGACTCAGAATTGATTCTAGCTCTCAATAGGACAAGCTATATTACATAATGAACGTACATGTCTAAGAAGAACCGAAACCATTAACTTATATTTGCAAATCCTCCCTCCTATTAAGGAAGTAGTTGCCGGCAGTTCCAAGTGGTTTTAATTCCCCTTATTCAAAAGTTGTTCAATAAACTTTCCTCCAATAAGGTTTAATCCGGGTTTAAACCTTCATAAAGACCAACATAATAATTTGATAAAACTCTAAGTAAGAAGACTCTTACACAGCGCCCTGCACAAGTTTCTGCATTGGCAAATCTAGTGTCGATCGGAGCTCATCGTGTGTGGTCTTGGCTTTGTTTTCTTGCATGTTGTTTGGGGTTTGTGTGTTCGAGTTGGGTTTTGTGTCATTCCAACTTCTTGGGTTGTGTTTTGAAGGCCCATAATTCAGGAGCTAAACTTCTAGTTTGCCAATTTCTCACCTCCCATGGTCTTCTACTGGTGCCTCTGCCACAGTCGCGGTCAAGTCACCCTCAGTCCACACCCACTGCGTTTGACCAAGCCTTGAGCTTTTCCTTAGATCAGTTATGGCAAAGAATTTGGCAGACTACTTTTCCCATTTGGTTCGAGGATTTTCTAGAATCTCTTCAATCACAGGGGACTCAAATTTATTAACGCGATGTTGGACTTTGTTTACTAGTTCAATTCATGAGTCCATCATCATCTCTTCATGCAGCATCGAAATAACATGGAGGAGTCGAAGTCCACGATAAACATGCATGTTCTTTTGATTAGCTTTCTTTTTTTCTTTTTTTTTTTTGGTCAAGCTATTTTTTTTTTTTATAAATATATATGTTTTTCACAAAAGCTTAGGTCATTTGATTACGTTCAATAGTATAATGAGCCTAGCGAGTCTAGATTATATCATCATGCAAGAGAGCATGCACCCAGAAATTGCAACAAATACCTCTAGGTTGAGAATAAATTACATGAAACAGATTTACCGTTATTGTGGCGATCAGGGTTAATATTCTTATGTTATGTGTAAATTTTTCTCCACATAATATGATATTATTGAATTAAAACGCTACTTGTCACTGAATCTACTCTGTATAAATTGTTCTTTTTATTGGTTACAGAAGAAAATACAATCCCTTTAATTGGTGACTCACAGAAAGCACTGTATACCATTCCACATTGTATTTTTTTCCGAAAGAAGCCTCCGAATCCGACCAGACCTAGAAAACTTTTGATGTAACGTACTAACGTAGCTTCATTTGTGTTGACCTTGACAAAGTGTGTATAGAGCTAGTAGTAGGACCCTAACAACGTTCAAGACAACATGATGCTTTAAGGACTAGCTAATTTATTTATTTATTTTTAAAGATGGGGAAAAAATAATATATATATATATATATATATATATATATATATATGGTATAAACCCAATGTGAATTACGATGTGCAACACAATTGTCAATTGTTTTTTTCCTAGATTTAGGATCAAATCATTAATTTGGTTTTTGGAGCCACACTCGCTTGCAAGTTATATGAGTTAAATTGCAACGATAAGTCTTTTTGTATTGGTGAATTACACAATAGTAGTTTAAATGAGACTAAAATGCCTCTGTGAATTTTCGAAATTCTCGAAATAGTGGACTACTGTGAAGAAATTATCAGCTGATTTAAAAAAAAAAATGTAGACTTGAGTCACACTGATGGATCTTCCAATCACGTCCCACTTAATATTATTGAATTAAAAAACTATGTGTCACTGAATCTATTCTGTATAAATTGTTTTTTTTATTGGTTACGGAAGAAAATACAATTCTTTAATTGGGGACTCACAGAAAGCACTGTATACCATACCACATGGTATTTTTTTCGGAAAGAAGCCTCCAAATCCGACCAGACCTAGAAAACTTTTGATATAAGGTAGCTCCATTTGTGTTGACCTTGACCAAGTGTGCAGAGAGCTAGTAGTAGGACCCTAACAACGTTCAAGACAACATGATGCTTTAAGGACTAGCTAATTAATTGATCTACATTCAAGGATGGGGAAAAAAATACATCTATGGTATAAATCCGGTGTGAATTATGATGTGCAACACAATAGTCAATTGTTTTTTCGTAGGACAAATTTAGGATCAAATCATTAATTTGGTTTTTGGAGTTATATATGGGTTAAATTGCATTGACAAGTATGTTTTACATTGGTTAATCACAAGATAATAATTTAGAAGAGACTAAAATGTCTTTATGTTTTTTAAGTCTTTGAAATAGTAGAATGCCTTAAAAAAATTATCAATTGATCCCTATTTTAAAAAATCAAAAAAAAAAAAAAAAAAAAACATTGCAGACTTGAGTCACACTCCCATGGATCTTCCAATCATGTCCAACTCATGACCCCTAGCTACTTGATTGGACATGTCCAATCATGTCCAATTGAGGGCAGTCTTCAGATGCACGGCAACACACGATTTCCTTTATTTAGCTGTTAATTACCAATTATAAGTCATCGATCTGAATCATTGTAAAGTTGCACAAAAACATATTTTGTTGTGTAAAATCATGTGGATATTTTGCACTTCGCTTTTACGTATATTACTGTAGCTATTTCGTGTACATGTCAAATCTGAAATCATACTAATAGTGATTATGACCCATAATATGTACATACATTATTGATATGTTATAGGGTATGTTTGGAAGTATTTTTAAAATAACTAAAAGTGCTTTCGTATTCTCTAAATAAAGTGCTTCTGACTATGTTCGGCAAAAACAAAAAAAAATACTTTGAAGTGCTTTCTAGAAGAAGCACCTGACCATATGTTTGGCAGAAACTTCAAATACAATTCCAAGAAACAGTTGCATTTTTATTAAAAAGTAAAATGCTCCTAATAAAAGCATACACTCTTCAATCGACTACTTTTGATCATTTTTCACATTTTCGTACACAATGGTCTATTTTTTAGACCACATTTGAACTATGATTTTCTACTCCTCTCACATATATCGCAAAAGAAATGTTGCAGACAATTTTGCTAACATGGGCTTATTTTCTCCAACTTTGGTACGGCATGATTCTTCTTTTATTACGGTTCGTGCTACTTTGTTTTCATATAATGTTCGCTTGCCTAGCTTCCGTTTCTCAAATTAATGCATCTCGTCATATAGGTTTGTCTCAACTTTTTTTTCCCTAACCTTGTGGTGTTGTTCAACTTATTTTGCAGGTTTAGGCCTTTGAAGTTTGGCTTTAGAGGGGTTAGGTTTCATATTCACCCCTCTTTTCCTTGTATTTTTTTGCTTTCGTTTCTAAAAGAAGGTTTAGGTCCCCCTTCTTTTTCAAGTTCTTTTTCCCCTTTTCTTGTATTATAAGGGGTAAGGTTTATATCTCCTCTGGATAGATGTAAATTCTTTTTTTGTTATTAATAAAATTTCTCTCATACCACCGATGTTTTCTAAAAAAAAAAAAGCGGAGAAATAATTTTGTTTATTCTACTAACTTTTCATATGGTAATTTTTCTTGTTCTATAGTTGGAAGCTGGAATTCCTGCTTCCGAATTAACTAAAACTATTATATAAAAAAAGGTTTCTTAAAAAAAAAATAACAAGAACAAAGAAAATTGCTTTATTAGTAATCAAAACTACAGAATAGATAAGTTAATTACATGGGCACATATACAACGTCACAACCTCTGAGTCTGACGAAGCACACAAAGACACCTTCCAAGTCCCACATTAGAACAAGCTAAATTCAAACACCACCCCACCACGAAACCGGCCTTTGCCGATCCCCTCGCGTCTCCTCTCTCTTACTAAAATATCACTTTCACAAGCTAAGCTTATTGCTAGTAGCCAATTTTTACTAATTTCATGATTGTTGGAATATTAATTAAATCCCCTTCGAATCATTGACTTGCTCTCTCCTTTTGTTAAATATTTCATCTCACCACATTTCTTCCTCTTTATATCTATCCCTTGCCCTTTGAGTTCTGACTACTAATATATAACTTGATAGAGAACTATACTACTTAAGATTCCCAAAACATCACCATAAACCCAGTAGAGTTAAACTCCCGTGTTCTTTCCATCGATCTTCACCTTCATCGGCATGGATTATTCAACAGGAAAATCTCCAAGAAGAGAGCTTCAACTCCAAGGTCCACGTCCAACGCCTCTCAAGATACACAAAGACTCTCACAAGATCAAGAAACCTCCAGTTGTACCACAACCGTCACAACTACCAAACCAGCAGCAGCAGCCCCATCACTACCAGCAGCCACGTCAACCGGTCATAATCTACACGGTGTCCCCGAAGGTCATCCACACAAACCCTAGCGAGTTCATGGACCTTGTCCAACGCCTCACCGGCTTACCACCATCGAATTCTTCTACTACATCTTCTTCCCCGCCTAGAAATAACAATATTCATCCTCCGAATTACGTTAACTATAATAATCCTCCAGCTCATGATGATCAAGGGATGAAGAAAACTAGTACTGCTCAAGATGTTGTGGAAGAAATGGAAATTATGGATGGTGGTGGTGGTGGTGATGGTGGTGTGAGGCAAAAGGGTTTGTTTCCAGGGATCTTGTCGCCTGGGCCCGCTTCGCTTACTCCGATTCCTTCAAACTTCTTCTCTCCACCGGCGGATAGCTTCTTTCATGATTTGAGCCCCGTGCTCCATGGCAACAGGAACTTCATAGAAGGTAGTTTCATGCCTAGTCCGTCAAACTTCTTTTCCCCGTCTACATCCATAGACTTATTCAACAATTTTCCATATCAATAGTTTTTCTCATTTATTTTCTTGTTATCAAATTCTTTTACTTCAAAGAAAGAATGGGAACACATTGTAGGAGAATTATTCAGAGATGTGGATTCTCTTGGTTTAATTTCTTGGAGTTTTCTCGGTTTCTTGAGGTTCCCTTTTTTTAGGAGAGTTTGAGGGTTGAATTTCATTAGTGAAGACAATAGAATATTAAGGGATTGAGCTGGAATTTTGATTTTCTTTTTGGTGGGAAGGCAGGTGGGTAAGTTATTGATTAGTAGGTAGTTTAATATTGTGGACCATAAGATGGAGAGTGCCTAGCTCTCATATATCTTATGATACCCATCCTTTTGTTTTTATACCATTTCTTGTCATGTTCCTTTGGCATGTAATTTGCAATACATATATAGTTGACCTTTCTCATTGCTCTTTTCAGTTTGTTTTCTCTGTGCTGTTGAACTAACTTATACTAATGTACTTTCGCATCTTTCTGCTTGCAACACATATATAGCTAACACAAGTTTAATGTATAACTGTACATGTATGCATGTTTCTTTTGTATACATAAAAGCAACATTTAGGGAGAGAAAATCGAACGTATACAAATGCACATACATATTAGTTATTGATAAAACTTGACATGAAAATGACAAGGAATTTTTGTTTTTCTTGAAAAGTATATCATATAACATATGCATTGTTAGCTGCCAACGATTGAGTTGTAATTGATAACTCATTATATTTACGCTATGTTTGGCCAAAAGAATTTCAAAATTCTAAAAGATTAAGGTCAAGTTAGTAAGTAATGAATTATAGAATGTTAGATAGAAGGATTAAAAAATGCACTCCATAAGCATTAATTGCAAAGGCATTGTATGGAGGATTCGTAAATGCCCTCACTCAAACAAGTGATTTGCAAATCCCCTCACATGTCTTTGTAATGCTCACGAAGTTGATTTCTAATCCTTCACTAGTACAAAAACATGTTTGCGCGACGGAAACTTGCGCGACGCATAAAATTTCGTCGCGCAAAGTATGTTTGCGCAACGCTAAACACAAAACGTCGCGCAAACATACTTTGCGCGACGACACTTTGCACGACGAAGACTTGCGTCGTGCAAAGCTGTTTTGCGCGACGAAGGTGCACCTGCGTCGCGCAAAACAGCTTTGCACGACGCAAGTCTTCGTCGTGCAAAGTGTCGTCGCGCAAAGTCGACAACTTTTTTTTCTAAAATAAGCACACACAAGAGCCTTTTTTCTTCACACTCAACCTCTCTCTAACTCTTTCCCTTTCACTCTCTTTCAGACTCTCCATCTCTCTCAACCCTCACCATTTTCACCTTCTCCTTTAAAACCCACTCACTTTGTTCTGCTCACGTTATGAGTTAGCAGGTTCTTGCGTCAGGTCGTTCAAACGGGGCCTTCAAGTAATGTATTTATTTGATTAATTAATTAACTATTTATTGATTACATTTATGTTTGGTTTTTTTTTTTTTTGGTATATTTATGTTTTTCTTTAATTATTTTCTGGGCAATCTGAACATAAGTTTTTTGGTTACATGTGAGACTAGCAAAGGAAAAATGGATGTAATATATGTAAACGACTCAAACCATAGGAAGCCTTTGTCCAATTCCATGGGAAACTCGTATGTTACTTTTATAATCGCTTAGTTACACTAATATACGTGTGTGTGTGTGTAAGTGGTTATGATTTGGAGACACAAATTTTGACACTCATACTATAAGGTCCATTTCATAACATATTTGTTTACTATGAATTGTAATAAATGAGTGTCTTATTTGTTTATTCCAAATATGGCAGTTTGTCTTTTAGGACACGGATAAGTACTATACCTACGTCGCGCAAAGTTTTTTTTTTCTTTTCCCCTTTTGCTTTTCTTTTGGGGTTCTTGCATTGCCTTTTTTTTGTAGTATCCACTTGTGTAAATATTTTAAATTGACGATCGAATTAGTTCATTGTATTCATATAAAGTTAAAGAGTGTAGATATAAAAAATCATCAAAATCGGAGTTAAAATAACCGTTAAATCGTGATTTTTTGTTTATAGCCGTCGAAAAGGTTTGTCCCGTTATTTGATATCTGAATGTTTGTTTTTTGTGATTTTTGGCGTATGCAATCTCGAAGCATATGCAAACAAGTTTGACGGTTGGATCGTTGAAACTAGTTTCGTACAATACGTTTCCCATCAAAATGATACATTTACTAACACTTCGAGTTTTATTTATACTTTCATTAAGTATAACATAAGATTTTGTGGTATCCACTAGTGTAAATATTTTAAATTGATGATCGAATTAGTTTATTATGGTATATATATATTTACTAAGTAGATTTTTATTTATTTATTTTGTACTTATAAGCAAAAGGGAAGAAGGAAAAGGGGCAAAAAAAAAAAAAAACACTTTGCGCAACGTAGGTACACCTGCGTCGCGCAAAACAGCTTTGCGCGACGAAGACCTACGTCGCGCATAATGTTTTTTTTTTTTTTTTTTTTTTGCCCTTTTCCTTTTCTTTTGAGGTTCTTGCATTGCCTTTTCTTTTCTGGTATTCACTTGTGTAAATATTTTAAATTGACGATTGAATTAGTTCATTGTATTCATATAGGGTTAAAGAGTGTATGTTATCTATAAAAATCAAAAAAATCATCAAAATCGGAGTTAAAATAACAGTTAAATCGTGATTTTTCGTTTATAGCCGTCGAAAAGGTTTGTCCCGTTACTTGATATCTGAATGTTTGTTTTTTGCAATTTTTGGCGTATGCAATCTCGAAGCATATGCAAACAAGTTTGACGGTTTGATTGTTGAAACTAGTTTCGTACAATACGTTTCCCATTAAAACGATACATTCACTAAGACTTCGAGTTTTATTTATACTTTCATTAAGTATAACATAAGATTTTGTGGTATCCACTAGTATAAATATTTTAAATTGACGATTGAATTAGTTTATTATGGTATATATATATATATATATATTTACTAAGTAGATTTTAATTTATTTATTTTGTACTCATAAGCAAAAGGGAAGAAGAAGGAAAAGGGGCAAAAAAAAAAAAACACTTTGCGCAACGTAGGTACACCTGCGTCGCGCAAAACAGCTTTGCGCGACGAAGACCTACGTCGCGCAAGGTTTTTTTTTTTTTGGCCCTTTTCCTTTTCTTTTGGGGTTCTTGCATTGCCTTTTCTTTTCTGGTATCCACTTGTGTAAATATTTTAAATTGACAATCGAATTAGTTCATTGAAAAGGTTTGTCCCGTTAAATCGTGATTTTTCGTTTATAGCCATCGAAAAGGTTTGTCCCGTTACTTGATATCTGAATGTTTGTTTTTTTTTTTGGCGTATGCAATCTCGAAGAATATACAAACAAGTTTGACGGTTGGATCGTTGAAACTAGTTTCGTACAATGTGTTTCTCATCAAAACGATAGATTCACTAACACTTGGAGTTTGTTTATACTTTTATTAAGTATAACATATGATTTTGTGATATCAACTTGTGTGAACGTTTTAAATTGACGATCGAATTAGTTCATTATATTCATATAGGGTCAAGGAGTGTAGCTATTAAAAATCATCAAAATCGGAGTTAAAACTACCGTTAAATCGTGATTTTTCGTTGATAACCGTAAAAAATGTTTGTCCTGTTACTTGATATCTGAATGTTTGTTTTTTGCGATTTTTGGCGTATGTGATCTCGAAACATATACAAACAAGTTTGACGGTTGGATCGTTGAAACTAGTTTCGTACAATGCGTTTCCCATCAAAACAATAGATTCACTAATACTTGGAGTTTATTTATACTTTCATTAAGTATAACATAAGATTTTGTGGTATCAACTTGTGTGAACGTTTTAAATTGACGATCGAATTAGTTCATTATATTCATATAGGGTCAAGGAGTGTAGCTATTAAAAATCATCAAAATCGGAGTTAAAACTACCGTTAAATCGTGATTTTTCGTTGATAACCGTCAACAATGTTTGTCCTGTTACTTGATATCTGAATGTTTGTTTTTTGCGATTTTTGGTGTATGTGATCTCGAAACATATACAAACAAGTTTGACGGTTGGATCGTTGAAACTAGTTTCGTACAATGCGTTTCCCATCAAAACAATAGATTCACTAATACTTGGAGTTTATTTATACTTTCATTAAGTATAACATAAGATTTTGTGGTATCAACTTGTGTGAACGTTTTAAATTGACAATCGAATTAGTTCATTATATTCATATAGGGTCAATGAGTGTAGCTGTGAAAAAATCATCAAAATCGGAGTTAAAATAGTCGTTAAATCGAGATTTTTTATGTATAATCATTGAAAGGGTTTGTCCCGTTATTTTGTACGTATAACACTTAAGAAATTGAATGGTAAATATATTTGTTAAGTAGCTTTAAATTTATTATTGTAATTCGGATCGGGTTTTTGTTAGAAAAATATATTATTGTGGGCTTTATGTTAAAAAAATTGAATTTAAAAGGAATAAAGTCACATTTTCAGTATTTAAAAAAATATATATATATAACTTGCGCGACGCCACAATTAGATCGTCGGGCAAAAACACTTTGCGCGACGTCATGATGTATACCTACGTCGCGCAATCTATCAAAATTTTGGCGGCATTATTTTCGTTAATAGGCGCTTTTTTTTTAAAATTATTCCAATTTTTCCGGTCTCTCTTCCCTCTCTTACTCGATCTCTCTCGTGCCTCTCTCTCACTCTGTCTCTCTCTTCCTTCCTCCGACTGCACCCAGCCTCCTCCTCATCCTTCCTTCCTCCCGTCTGCACCCACCCAGCCAGCATCCTCATCATCCTTCCTTCCTTCCGACTGCACCCAGCCAGTACTTATCTTTGCTTAATTCTGTATTTTGCCTGTCTCTCTTCCCTCTCTTACTCGGTCTCACTCGTCTCTCTCTCTCTCACTCCGTCTCTCTCTCTTCCTTCCTCCGACTGCACCCACCCACCCAGCCTCCTCCTCATCCTTCCTTCCTCCCGTCTGCACCCACCCAGCCAACATCCTCCTCATCCTTCCTTCCTTTCGACTGCACCGAGCCAATACCTATCTTTGCTTAATTCTGTATTTTTCTTCTTTCTAATGCCTTAATTTGAAGATTTTGGTATTGTAATTAGATTCAATTAGGAAAATTAAAATAGAAATTGTGGGTTTTAGTGTTAAATCGAATTTTAGGATTAAATTGGGGGTTTTAGTGTTGAATCGAATTTGAGTTATTTTTGTATGTTTTTGTTGGAATTATTTTAGTTTAGCTCACATGTACTGCTTTCTTTCGTTCTTGCAGCTGATTAGTATTGTGTTAAAGCTTGTATAATTACTAGCTCTGGGAAATTAATGGTTATTAGGTGATGGATTTTTCTCATATGATCACAACTAACTAGTTGCATTGCATAGAACAACTTTCCATGA